ACTAACTAGTTGTGTGACCAAGGGCGGTGACCACCTCTCAGAGTGGCAGCTACTTCTATAAAATAGAGCTAATGATACCTACCCCCGCCCCCAGAGTTCTTGTGAGGATTTAATGAAACAACATACGTAAAGTGCTCAGTTAATGGTAGTTGTTCTTACAATAATATAAAACTAGAAAAAACTTGGAGAACAAGGACATTCACTTTGGCATTTTTCACATTTGTGAAAACCTGGAACAATCTACAGATCCCATAAAAGGAGCGTGATCAGGCAGACCACACACATACACACAGTGAGATCTTCCGTGGTCACCACCAATGGGGCTTAGAGGGACATGAGGCAAGTCTGTACTGTGGGATATTGCAAGGAAGCTGGCAGCTCTGCAAAATATATCTAGGAAGAAGACTGGACAGGAATCTGCAGAAATGCTAGTACATTGTTGAGCTGAAGTAGTGGGATTCAGAATGAACTTGTCTCTTCTCCCTAACTTCCAGCCTGCCTATAAGGCTATTGGGTTATTTTTAAAAACAAACAAAATTACTGGAAAAGAGCATGTTTTTGCATGGATCTGGCCAGGGAGGTGACAGGGCAGTGGCTTACGGGCCCCTGGTGGCTGAATCTGGACCTTTCTCACTTAGTACAACGGACTCCAAATAACCAGCCTGCAGCCAGTCAGGACGCGGGTGACTGGAGGGTGTTCTGTGCGCCACCTTTAGAGGACAAGGTGCGCATTGCAAGAGCTTGGGCTCTGCAGCGGGCTGGGACTGGGCAACGTCTCAGATCCACACGGAGTACAAGCCCCGTCACCATTAGGACTTGGAAGACAGCCCTACCCTTCTGGGTTATTGCGAAGATTAAAGAAGGTGGAGGCTGCTTGTGACTATCTCCCTCCCAACTCTCACGGCAGTGAAAGAGTGAAAGAGAGAGGCACCTGGGGACCAGTAGGTCACTCCCCACCCCCCACCCCCACCTGTTGCCTCTGTCTGCTCGCTATGTGTGGTCCTGAGGGGCGGGCAGTACTTAGCACAGCACTGCCTTTTAGGGCTTGCTGTCGGCTCTTTCAAAGTCTCACATTCGATGAAATATAGGGAAATTGCCCTATATCTAGCAAGCCGAAGGGAAGATAAGCTAGGGCCTGGCAGCCATGCACGCTCCCGCTGAAATAACCAAAGCCCACCTTTAACAGGTGGGGAGCTGTGACCTTACCGTGCCTGCTGCAGCCACCATCGTCCTCACCACTCAGAGTAGCTCATAGTCATAATTAGGTTCTTAACAAAAAGCCTGGATGCTGAAGAAGAAAGGGCCAGGCCCTCCCCACTTTCCAGTCCTGAGACCTTGGGCAAGTTATGGAAAGTCTCTCTCTGAGCCTCAGTTTCCCCATCTGTTAAATGGTAAAGCTACCACCTACCCTTCATGATCTTAAGCGATGTTCAGTAAATGTTAGTTCTCTTTCCTTCCCCAGATAGGAACACTCAGGCACCAGGGAACACTGCCTCCTTGGCAGGAAGAGGACTGAACAGCTCTGGTTCCCAACCCCAGGGAACCTTCCCCAGAGAGGAAGGTGGTGTGCGGGGCAAGTCATCTCAGGACACAAAGCTGTCTCCCTGGGCAAAGCCAGGAGAACAATGGACCCCCGTGGACAGCAGAGTGCAATGGAGAGAATGAAACTGAGCAGCATTTGGAGTCCTGGCCATGCCGCTTTCTAACTGGATGACCCTGGAACACTGGTCAATACATTTTCTGAGCCAGCGTTCCTGTTCTGTGGAAGGGACGCCTAAGAGGACCTAGGACACATGAGGTGCTCCGCTGTGCTCACTGACCCACAGCCCGAGCTGTCTGATTCCTCCTAACCCCAACTCTTACCCCAGGGGGTCCTCGGGGCGCACCATCGGCCCTGTTCTGAATAATAATGTAAGGAGCTAATACTTCTTGAGGGGGAGTAGTCACTGAATATTAATTAGCTAATGTTAACAGAAAAACAGAGGGAATGTTTTCCCCAGAAGTCTTTGTAAATTGTTCTTCCAATTGCTGTCACATGGTTTTGAGGGGCTAGGACACCTACCTTCCACTGGGGAAGAAAATTTGACATGGGAAAAATTTCTTTCTGGGAAAATGCAAGTCAAAAGAAGTCGGCACTGGGATTCCCTTTGGGGCCTCCTTTAAAAGTCCTAAGAAGCTCACACCTAGTAGGTTTTTGAAGATATTTGCTGAATGAATGGATGCAAGAATGGACGTGAGCTAGAAAGCAAAAAACGGACCTCAATGGGTGGAGTGGTCTTAGAGCTGCTGGCGACGCTACTGGGCTTCGACGAACTCCAGATGCTGAGCTGCTGCAGGAGGCCGTGGAGACTGTCTAATTCTTAATCAGCTCCGTTTTGCTGTCCACAAAGTTAATTACTTAATGTGCTTCTTTGGAAGTGAGAGCTGGGGCAAGAAGTCGGGAGGACTGAATCCTTCCCTCAACTTCAAAGATCCTGTGTCTCTTTCTGCCGCCCAAATCCTCTAAGTTTCCGATGCACTTTGATATTCCCAGTGGAGACAAAGATCTGTGATTCAAGAAAATCCAGGCCAGATTAAAGGGCCAGGCACCGAGTCCGTGTGCCCAACACTGAACCACCAGCAACAAAGGCCCATTAGGATGTGGCTCCTGCCCGCCAGCTTGTCTTCTTGTGTCTCCCGACACAATGCTGACAGATTGGTGGGGCTGGTTTCTTCCTCCCCAAAACAATATTTTATGAGGAGTCTGTTTTATTAAAATATTTTCCGCTGGATGCTTCCTGTGTTTCAAGAAGTTGGTCTTGCCAGCTGGAGCTGATGACAGTTGAGAAAAACACATCCAAGTGCTGTTGTGACATGGCATTTGGAAGTGGAGGAGCACAACGGGGGGTGGGGGGGGAGGAGGCAGCATGGGAAGAGACGCAGGAAAACACCCGGGTTGCACCAGAAATGTCACTGGCATTATGGGAGAACAGCTCTGCCGGCCCCCCATGCCCCCCCCATCACATTAAAAAAATGTGAACAGAAACTCTCGGAATGATGTTCTAAAACATACCTCCCTATCTCCTGGTGGACCCGGGTCACTGTTACGTACGATCACAGAGAACCTGTCATTTGTTTTCTATCATTGCCAATTTGCCAACCCACTAAACTAGCCACCGCTGCTCCCTCTGGTTCATTTCAACCCCAAATGTTTCCCAAAAAGAAATCTAAAACAAGGTGTACTGCAAAAAAAAAAAAAACCCAAAACAAAAAAACCCACAAAAAGTGGTACTGACATAGTTCTGGTAATCTCCAGAATGATGGGGTTACCAGACACTGGCTCTCTGCATATACTGATGAAGCAATTCCCTATCACTGGGCTGGAAAAGCAACAGTGTAAATAAACGTGGTGAGGGAGTCCGAGCTCTAATCGGGAACCGGCCACAAAATGGGTAATGCTTTTCTGTAGAATGGGAAGTGTTGTTGGTCCAGGGTGTTTTTGGTGCAAAGCAAGGATATTCTGGATTTGCATTTCAATGTCTACAGGACCATGACCCTGTATCCCAGTACAGTGTCTAAAATATTTCGTCCAGTTTTAAAGAGATGGCTCTAAAGAAAAGTGACTAAATTCATTCCCCTAAGGAGAAATCTTTGGGGTCTGAGGCACTCTGAAGACATGCAGCATTTTCTCCACAAGGGGGCAATCATAATCCACGGCAGGGAAATAGTCCTCAAGATTCCCACCGTCCTATTGTGCACAGGAAAAGTTAAACCTACACCCAACTTCTGGAGTCCGACTTCCAAATTCTGCATCACCAAGCATCTCCCAAGACACACAGACACACACAGGTTTGAGGGCTGTCTAGGTAGGCTGGTTCTGTAACAACATGATAGTCTCAAGTGATACCATCCTATAAACCAGAGAACCCTGGAAGAGCTGAAGTGGACTGCAACCCGAGCTGGGCCACAGGCTGACATTTGGGAATTATTTCTTCCTTTTGGCTCCTTTTCTGGCTAGGACGTGCCATCTCCCATCTCCCTTAACTTCCTTCCCTGAGAACTTTTCTGAAAATAAGGCAGACACGAGGAGCATTCCCCTCTTCACCCAAGGGACCTCAGGGTCCCAGGGGCAAATTTTTTTTGGTTCCCCCAACAGCCCCAGACCAAGATGGTTTCATGCACTTTTTCAAGGCATCACTGGAAGCCAGTGTGTAGCTGCTGAGCTGTCTGGGCAGAAACCACCAGCCGTTTGCCTTGGGGATGGAGGCACATTCCTCTGATGGAAGCAGTGCTACCTTCTCCAGCTGGCTCTGAAGTCGGGGCCGTAAGCAGCTTTAAGCCTCCCACATTCAGACAGCTCAGCCTCTGGCCACTGCTTGCCCACCTGCCTCGTCATTCCCCTCATCTACCCAATGTCTACCCAGCAAGTGATTCTAAGCTGGGCCCTATGCTTGGTACTGGGCATAAAACCCAGCACCTGTCCCGTGGAGCTCTGGGCCCAAGGGGTGGTAGGAAAGCAAAGTCATAATAAAATAAATGCTAAGGCACAGGTGAGCAAAGGTACTGGTGGGGGAGGGGCAGTGGATGAGGATAGTCCTGTGTATAAATCTGAGCTCTGGAGACCCGGAGCAGCCCAGGCCTAGGAAGGTGATGGCCCTCGTTAAGTAGGTTGCCTCCTCGACCAGGTCCCTAACTCTCTTTTTCTGACCAGCTATCTTCAGCATAAGAAAAGGCCTAGAATCTTTTTCTGAGCTTGTTTGAGTACCCCTTGGGCGTCACCACTCAAAACCCAGCCCGGGTGCCCGGCTCCCTGGCCTCTGGGGCCTCCTGCTGGCTGTGACAACTGCTAGCAGAACTGACACTGAAGATCAAGCCGTGTTCCCCGACCGACCTCTCTGTGAAACACCCGCTCGGGGCTCCAGGGAAGCCTTTCAAAGGCCGGGGCTGCCACATGGTCTCCACAAAGCGCTGGCCCCGCTGGGCTCCTGCAGACACAGGGGAGGGGAGAACAGGGTACTCACTGTTCGGGGCTCGAGACGGACGTCCTCCGGCCTTCCACTGCGATGTTGCTCTTCGGTCTCTTAATGACGTGTGGCCGGGGAGGGCGCACCTAGAATGGGCACAGGGGGAAATCCCCAAGAAGGGCTCAGTTGGAAAAGCCACATAGGAACATTCTCAAGATGCAGATAAGTGGCCCTAAAACAAACGCTGAGGAATTTTCACAGCATAGGTTCAAAGGCTCTGCTTATCACGGAGACACGGCCGTTGAATTTGCAGCCGAGCCGTGAACTGGAGTTCTGTGACCTACTCAAAGGGGAAAGGCCCTTCTGAAGGGCTGGGTCCCTCATCTGCAGGTCGCGGTGGCACCACCTGCCTCCTCTCAGGGCTGCCGCGAGGGTTCAGCGAGACACTGTCTGTGCAGGACCCGGGACAAAGAGGCTCTCACTGATGACGAGTCCCTCTTGCCTTCTCCTGGAACCCGGAAACCAGTTTGGTAGAACAAAAAGGTTTCACTTAGACTTTGTTTTTGGGGTACATATGCCTATGTTGTTCTTTTTACAGCTGAATTACAGGAGGCCTATTTTCCTCTCTAAGTGGGAGTGGGGAGAAGCAAATACTAACAGCTTTAGAGCGCCAGTAAAAGTCCCTGGGCATCCCTGTGTAGTCCTCCTGAGCAGGGCTCGGCCTGGAAGCCACACAGCCTGTGTGGGCACTGCACTCACCACGCGGACCTAGCTTAAGGGCTGGAGGTGGGCGTATTGACAGTGAAGTACACAGCTTCCCTGTCCACAACCAGGCTGCAGCGGCAAGGTAGTTTTTTTCTGACCTGAGGCCTCCGAAAGCCAAGACGAGGGATCCTATAAAAAGACACCCCCTTCTCCCACCAGAGCCCGTGATGAGAGTTAGGCTAAGAATTTCTAGGCGTCCTTAGAAGGATACTCATTTGGTCCAGTCAACATTAGCTGGCTTTAACTCCGGCACCATCTTCTGAACACCACCAGAGAAGGACTGGAGAAAGCGAAGAAAGCCTGTCTGTGAATTTTGCTGCCAATAAGAAAGAATGAGCAGCCCAGTGCGGGGGCCGCTTTCTCTCTGCAGATGAGGGACCACGGCGGGAAACGCCACGGACGCTGAGCTTAGCAGGCAAGACAGGGAAGAGGAACACATACTCACTCCAATCCCTGCCGCCCTCTTCCCTGAACCCACCCTCCCACCAGCCCCCAACCCAGCACTGGTGGGCGACACAACACAATGGCTTCGGAACACAGATCACAGAAGTTGGCTGTGTAAGAGACACGTCTTTAATAATCTCATCAAGCCCTCACGTCTCCACGTGTCTGACCTAACCAGAGTTTTTCCTGTGGAACGGCCAGTCTGATCTCAGCCTGGTCTGGCAAATCAGAGACGTGGTAAGAGCCAAGTGCGTTCCACCAAACTTGCTGTCTGCTCTGGGATTACTGTGAAGATCCAATGAGGTGATGCGGGGAAAGTGCCAGCACGGGGCCTGGCACACAGTGGGGGCTCAATAAACGCTCACCTTGTTTCTCTGTGACCTTATCAGTAACAAAAAGAAGACGGGGTGTGGGTGTCTCCAAATTAGAAGATGGATCTATGGTGGCCTACCCTTGCCTAGCACGGTGCTCACTGCCTGGTTTACAGTGACCCCTCAGCAAGATTTTTAGAAATGGATGTTGCTGCCTGGAACCTAAGAAGTGCATAATAATGTTGCTATTATGATAACTGTTATTAGAACAGTGCCTGCCACAAAGCAGACATCCAGTCACCGGCTGCTGAATAAACGAATGGATCCGTCCCCCACTCGTGCGAACCCTGAACCGGTTTCCCGGCCTAGAGCCGGACTCCTCTTGCAGCTGGTAAACAGGATCACCTGGTTTGCACCTGACTTTGCACCACAAAGGCGGGGTGCAGTCAGGGCAGCGCTGCCCTGCCCCGGAGGTCCCGGGGTGGGGCTTTGGGAAGGTCACACATTAAGGCCCATTCGCCTGTCCTCGCCCACAGCTGCTCCTTGTACAATAGAGGCAGGTTAGGAATGTGAACTTGTGGCTGAAATGGGGGGATTAAGTTTGTGGCAACTTCAACTGAACTTGCAACGTGGTGAAACATGGGGAAAAAGAACAACAGAGCTAATTAGACGAGCTGAGCTGTCAGAGCGCCGCTGAATGGCTCAGCGCCAACAAACAAAAGGAATGGGTTGGCAATCAGCAGGATCGATGGAGAAGACTGCTTCATTAGGGATGATAAACCAGACAGAGCAGGAAGGGGGGGCGGGAGGGGGAGGGAGGCGGCAAAGCAGGGGAGGGAGAAAGGCACGGCGGACCCAGAGACAGTCGCCCGCGTGGCTGCAGACACACCCAGAGTCACACACACATCTGACTGGTGTGGACAAAGCAGACACAAAATAGCAGACACAAAATTATACTCATGGACAGACAACCACCCAGAGACACGCACAGGCCTCGAGATACCAACATGCCCAGTTTCACAAATACACACTCACAGAGGCACACACAGGAGGAGAAGGCACATGCACAAATCTCTCTCTCTCTTTCACACACACACACACACACACACACACACACACGGCCGCAGACGTACAGCTAGAGCCGTAACCAGGCACAGACACACACAGACAAAATGGTTTAATTAAGCCCGAATCACAAGACGATACAGACAACTGGCCTGTCATATTTCAGCGATCACATCCGTCTTTCCGGGGTGCTTAGGAAGGGCGGGGGCTGGGGATGAGGGAAGAAACCACATGCACACACAACTACGACCGGCCCCACCAGTGCTAGGATCCCAGCAGCGCTGGGGGAGAAAATGCTAAACAGGGATTTGGAGCTCTGTTCAAGGGGGACTTGAGGGGAAAGTTGGGAAACTAGCCAATTCCCCACTGGATTTAAAACCTGAGAAATCTAAGTCGGCAGGGTTAAATGTGTATTGAATACAAAAGCACCGAGTACATTTGATTTTAATGGTGAGCAAGAAATAATAAATACAGAGCTTATAAAGCGCTTCACATGCAGCCGACCACAGCCTGCCTCTCCCCTGCACGCCCCGGCCCACTCCCCTGGGCCCACCAGACACTGGCAAGGCTTTCTTCTGCTTTTTCCTTTTTCTTCTTTTTAAAAAGAAAATCTAAATCCTCTGGTCACATCTGAACTCCAGCCACAGGTGCCAGGCTACAAGGCTCCTTCCAGAAAGGCTGAATGGCTAGCCCCCATGCTCCCACTACCCTGGGCCGATGGCCACACTTCTGCCCAGAATGTCTGCAGCTAAGTGACCCGGCAAAGCCTGGCTATGGGCCAGTGGCTCCTGACATGGGAGCTTGTCAGGCCATCTTCTTCGAGGCCCTTGAGGGGTTCCATAGCCCACGGGCCCCAGGTTCACCCCTAGTGTGCAGTGGTGCCCACTGGAAATGCTTGAGTGAATGCACTCGGAGTGAACAGACCCTGGCGCACTGGGGAACGCAAGCCCGAGAAAGCACAGAACTTCTACGGCTCCCAAATTAGTCCCATAGTGACCCTGCTTGGCAGAAGGTGTTTGGGTTGGCAGAACTGGGGTACGTGCACCCACCTCTTGCCAGGGACTGTGCTAGGTGCTACACATATATGACCTCATACCCCACCAGGTAGGTGTAGCAAGCCATTCTACAGATCATGAAACTACGGCTCAGAGAAGGTATGCGTCTGGCCTAACATCACACAGTCAAGAGTGTCCAAGCTGTGATTCAAACCAGGACAGGCCTCTCTGACTTCCAGGCCCAGGAGAATCAGTTCTGCTAGGTACCTGCCTCTTCAAAGTCTCACAACCCAAGCGGGGTGCAGCCCTGCATGCCGGGCTGGTCACCTCCTGCACCAGGGCGGTGGCAGAGGTAGCTGCTGCTCAGGCTTTGCTCAGGGCAATACTTGCCTTTCCAAGTCCTCAGTCGCCAACGGATGTGGCTGAATTCCAGCCCCCTCGCCCCCCAATCTATACGAGTCCCCACACTGGTGACACAACGTGGAGCCCACAGTAGCTGTCTCCAGTACCTGAGTTCTTCCAAGGGCAGCAATCCTGCCCTGGATCACACTTTCTAAGGGACTCCCTGCCTGTCTTGGATCCTAGGTCTCTCCAAGGACTTCTGAGAGCTACCCTCTGGATGACTTTGGCTTGGGAGAGGCTGCTTGGTGAGGAGTGGGGAGAGGCAGGGCAGAGAGGCAGGCCTGGGCTCAAAGGCCAGCGTGGCCTCTTATCATCTCTGTGGTCTCGGCTGCCATTTGGGGAAAGAGCATCTGCCTCCTCCAGGCTGTTGTAAGGACAAAGGAGCACAGTCTAGGCACATAAAAGGTGCTCAGTAAATGTCAATCCCCTTCACCGCTGCGTGCCTGCCAGGATCTAACACGGCCGTAGAGGTTCCACAGGAAGCCCCAGCCGGCTGCTGATGAATTTTTTCTCACCTGAAGGCTCTGCCCCAGTCCTTTGTACTCCGTGGAGACGGAGATGAAGGGTCTGGGGAGCTTGGCATGCTGAAAAGACCATGTGTTCTAGAGTGTGGTGACCCCTTTGTGTAGTTGAGGGACTTGGGGTAAGTCACTGGGCTTCGGTTTTCTCATCTCTAAAACAGGTGGAGGCGATGCCTACTTCATAGAGTTACTGTGAGGCTCAGCTGGGTTGATGTGGCCAAGAATGATTTGCTGACTATGAAAATCCTAGGTGAATGATGATTATTAAGAAACTGGGTCATTCCTTAGAAGCTGTAAGATTTAGAAACCTGTTAAGAAGAGGAAGAACTGCTACTGTGTGCCAGGCACTGTGCTAGGTGCTTTACAAATGTCATCTATATCATGCTCACAAAAACCTCCATGAATGGGGGTGTATTCGAGAGAGAGGAGAGAGGCTCAGAGAGCTTCAGGACCTGCCCAGAGTCACACAACTTTGGTCTCAAGCCTGGCTCTGTCTACTCTCCAAAGCCATGTTGCTAATGACTGTACTGAAATTCTCACTAAATCACACAAGTTTTGACCCAGTAGCTGGCTTCCTGTCCCCCAAAGCGCTTTCTTTTTGCTGTTTGTGACTTCCTTCCAATGACAGCGAGCAGAAACATTCCAGCCCCTCGACAGCAGTGCTGATCACGGTTGGACTGGGGTACAGGATGGATCTGTCACACGTGGTTGGAACTGCAGTGTCACGGCTGCCTCCACCCCAGCCCTCTAACTCCCACATGCGGTAGGGAAGGGAAGGGAAACAGTGCCACAGAACTTTCCAATATCCGTGCAGAGAGCGGCCACCCAACCGATGCTGGGTACGTGCGCCTAGGATTCAAAACAGACACAGTTCGAGAGCGCTCCTAACCACTTCCGGTTTGGTGCTGCCTGATTCGAATCAATTTTTGCTCAAATAAACCCTTAAATTAAAAAAAAAAAGAAACAGATACAGTTCCGCCTAGTCAGCTGCACCCCTGGGCCACCACACCTTTCGAGATGGATGTGGACACCGCAGTGGGGCGGCGGGAGGGAGTGGGACTCGGGCTCATGGGGAACTCTGAGGGCCGCTTTTGCTGGACTGCAAGAGTGGTGGCCGCTTTGAACAAGAAACAGAGAAACTCTTCTCTTGGTAAACAGCCCTCACTCAACGGTCCCGGCAAGTTTCCTTCCCACTTTAAGGGAACCTGCTAAAGTTATCAGGCCTCTCAGCACGACCAAAGTCTGAGCCCACACGAAAAAGGACTTCACCGATGCTAAACATGGGACCCACACCCCATATGTTCCCAAGGTATGTTCTCTTGAGAAAACACGGGTGGGTCTCTTTCCCTTGCCCACCCAATCCCAGGTGTTGGTGGGTTTATCACATCTCATCCTGCTTTTCTGCCCTTACTTGGAGCTTCGCTTGGGAGGGTGGAGCCCCACGTGAGGCCCAGGAGATGAGGCAACCCGGTCTCCATCTGAGCCGGTTCAATATTCTCTGGGTGTAGCCTCTACCCCCCAGGAAGGGATATCAAATGCATCTGCAAACCGAGATCTGGCGGAACAGACCCCTGCTGCCAGATTTCTGCTTCCTTTGTGAGGAAAAGGCAGCTGCAGCCTTTAAAGCTCATTGGCTAGCAACGTGGCTCAACCCAGGAGATGCGCTCGAACGATGCACACACGGCAAAAACACCACACAGCGACCCTGCTGCCTACAGCTCTGACCTGCGAGTCACCAAACTGATTCAGAAAAAGGAGAGAGAAGCCCAGAAAGTGCAAGTCCAGGGACATGCCACACAGAGGGAAGCTGAATAACCCACTTCATGGCTTTCTTTGGCAAGGCAGCTGAGTTCAGACCCCTGAGGTTTAGTCAGGCGGGGAGACGGCTCAGGCAGTGTTAGGCGGGAGGGCAGTACCACCGGCTACTCACGGGCCTCGAGCGCTGTATCTTGGGAGGCGGCGGGCGAGTGGGATGGAGTCTCTGCGGCTGCATTAAAGTGGAAACTTAAGGAATCAGTACACACGGAGATGATCTGATGCATTTCCACACACGGCTCCAAGCATTCAGCCCCCCAGGCGGGAGCCCAAGGGCCGTCCTCGACGCCTCCTGCTGTCTCAGCCGGTCACCGGCTCCTGCACATCCCGTGTCCGAGGCCCTCCTCTCCACTTCGAGCCTGGATCACTGTAATCACCTCCAAACAGGCCCCCCCGCCGGATCTCCTCAGCCATTCTCCACACAGGCCAAGCGGGATCTTCTAAAATGCAATGTGACCCTGCCGCACCCCAGCTTCGAGACCTCTGCTGTCCCCTCCTGTCCTGGGGCCACACACAGTTCAACAAGGCCCTGGGCTGGCATTCCAAATCCTCCAAGACCTGGGTTCTGCCGTGCCCCACCCAGACCCCTCCCAACCTGTGCTCACCAGCAGACCCTCAAATGGCCTGAGGCTCTCAGGCCTGCTTCCTGCCTGCCCAGCAGGTGGAATGACCAACCCCATCCTGATGTGCCTGGCAAACCTTTACTTATCCTTCACGAATTCGCGCAGGTCAGATGCTGCCTTCAGTGCTCTGACTCGTCGCTCACTACCACCACGTATCTTCCCCTCCCCGCCCCCCATTCTCCTTCAGATGTTCATTTCCTTAAGGGATTCATCCCTGTGCCTCGGGAAGAAATATCTGCTCAGTAAATGTCTGAGGAACAAATAAAATTTTTGCACAAAATGCTTGACTTTTGAACTCAGGACTTGAATAAAAATCAACAGAGCACAGACCTCTTAGCTCGCTCCTCAAACCCTTTATCTCGAAAGTCAAGCTTTGTTCTGTCAATGGCCTGCCCATCTAGATGCCCTGGACAGTGGGGCGGATGGGCAGACACAGTAAGGAGAGGAAAGGTCCACACTAGACCAAGGTCACAGACGCTCGGTGAGCCCTGGGAGGCTTCCAGTTGGGTCCTCTGTGAACCTCGTGGTTCACAGAGGTCCATCAGTACGCCACAAAGTCCAGACGCCCACTACAGGAGCCAATGGCCACACCTGGTGAGTCCAAATTAAGACGCGCTGTAAGTGTAAAATGCACGCTGGATTTCAGAGACTTAGTTTGAAAAGAGAATGCAAAATACCTCAATAATTTTTTATATTGATTATATGTTGAAATAAAAATGTTTTGGATATTTCAGTTAAATATATTATTAAAATTAATCTCATCTGTTTCTTTTTACTTTTTAAATGCAGTTACTAAAAAATTTAGAATTCCGTATGTGGCTTGCATGTGTGGCTCCTGTTACGTTTCTCGTGGACAGCACTTCAGAGCTTCACTTGGTTGGAGTGGTCCTCCAGGTAGTAAACTTGCCTCAGAACTCATTCTCTACAACCAGCTCCCGGAGAGACGGGCCATGTTTCAGGCGTCCCTGGATCCCTGGTGTCAGCAAAGGGCCTGTCAGAGTGGCCTATGGAGAAAATTGGCCGACTGACTTGGTGGAGAATTGGGGTCCCTCATGGCACATCAAGAGCATATGTGGATGGAAATAAAGTCTGGCTTCCCAGATCCTGTGCCGTTAGGAGTGTAGGCCAACCCGTGCTCGGTGACCCTTCTTCATTTGGAGGCTATCTGGGGTTAGGATGCCACCCAACGAGATGAGCACGGCCACCCACAAGTGCATAGGCTGCTGCCCTTGTCCCAACCCCCCGACTCTCACACACAACCCCCACTTCCCCCATCACCCTCAGCTTCCCTTGTCCTCGGCCACTCTGCTTCTGGGTGACCTCCTTCTCTAGCCCCAGAGCCCTCACCACTAGTCACCTCTGACCTGCATTTCTGTCCCTGCTGGCGGGGGTGGCAGCGTTCAGGAGGTGACCTCTGGGGTCAATCTCAGACTGAACCCCATCCCTCCACTCATCCTGTGGCCCAAGATTTAACCATCAAGCCTTACTTTCCTCATTTGTAAATGCAGGTAATGGCACTACCTACCCAAGGGGGCTGCTAGGAAGTTTCAATGGGAAGATGTTCGCCAAGATCTTTAGCCCGTAGACGCCAGCAACTATCATCATTATCAGGTTTGCCCGCCTCCAGCCTCTCCCCTTCCCAATCTATCTTCCACGCTTACTCCAGAGTGGACTTAAAAAATACACGCCCAATTACGTCATTTGCTAGCCTAAAGCATCTCAGTGGAAGGCTGGCATCTCCCAAGGTGTCTTCTGAGAAACCATCCTGGGAGATGCATTGTATGAAAGAAGAAAAGGGGGCTCTCCAGCCAGACAAGTCTGGGAAGTGCTGTGTCTTGCTCCATTTGGGGATTCACAATGCTGGTTAGCACAGCAAAGGCTGCCAACCCTTGCAATAAAACACCTTACCGTGAACAGGCAAAACACTATTAACTCCTTTTTTTTTTGTAAAAGACCCATTTCCCACATTTATTTGGATATAGACTCACTTCCCCTATAACACCTGTTAATATCCCCTGGAAAATGTTAACTGAAGTGCTCAAAGCCCTCCGGATTCTGGGCCCCACCCATAAGCCTCTGCAATCTCATCTCTGGTGCATCTCCCCCACCAACCCCACCCCCCGCTCAGCCCCTTGCTCTCCCTGAAAGCTCAGGTGTTTTTTTTAAATTTTTATTTACTTTTGGCTGTGCTGGGTCTTCGTTGCTGTGCACGGGCTTTCTCTAGTTGTGGCGAGCGGGGGCTACTCTTTGTTGCGGTGCGCGGGCTTCTCATCGCAGTGGCTTCTCTTGTTGCGGAGCACCGGCTCTAGGCGCAAGGGCTTCAGTAGTTGCAGCACGCGAGCCCTAGAGCGTGCGGGCTTCAGTAGCTGTGGCGTGTGGGCTCAGTAGTTGTGGCGCGTGGGCTCAGTAGTTGTGGCGCGTGGGCTCAGTAGTTGTGGCTCGCGGGCTCTAGAGCACAGGCTCAGTAGTTGTGGCGCATGGTCTTAGATGCTCCGCGGCATGTGGGATCTTCCCGGACCAGGGCTCGAACCCGTGTCCCCTGCATTGGCAGGCGGATTCTTAAACACCTTGCATCTCCTTTTGTCTCACTCTTGGTGCCTCTTATTTGTCCTTCACTGTCTGGCTCAAGCACTGCCTCCCCCAGGAGGCCCTCCCTGCCGTTCCCTGAGGAGCATGGGTCAGGTGCTCTGCCCCCCATGTATTCACAGCACAAAGGTTGTAATTATCAGCTCACTCATTGCATTTCTCCGTTTATCTAGTATGGTACTGGCTAAATAGGTGCTCAGCAAAGATTTTTGGCTGAAGCTTCCTGGCACATGTAGAAACTCAACACGTTAGTTCTCTAGATTCTGTGATTAATTTATTTTGCTTTGTCATCAGGAAGTGCTAGTTCTTTTGCAACTGAATTTATAAACGGTGGAAGGAAAGCAGCCTCTTGACTACACCTAACCTAGAAGCTAGTAAACCAGAGGAGTTTATAGACACTAAGAAATGGTAACGTGGTACAACTGTCCTGAGTGTGGCCGTGAGGACCCACAGCAGGGATGCTGGGTATATCACGGCAGCTCCCTCAGGGCAAGGCACACAGTGGATACGCTGCTAAGAAGCTTCTGCTTCTTGGAGGGGAGGAAGTAGTAGGGCTGTTGGGTCATGGTGGTTGCAGTTTCCCAAATATGCCGGGTGGCATGAGGGTGGGGGACACAGCTTGCGGAGAGCTGAGTACTCTGGGGACAGTTAGAACAGCCCATAAGGGTGGAATGGTGGTAACTTGGGCGGGAGGAGGGGGTGAAGAGAGAAGCTAGGGGAGAATCAACTCAACATACCGTTTTCTAGAACGTGGCTCCAGTGCTGGGGAAGCTGAATCAGGGAGTAACTGAATATGGGGCTGTAACAGGGTGAGGTGAGGTCCGACACGACTGCAGAGCTGGCCAGATACAGTGAAAGTCACTTCCGTGAGCCGGGGTCCCCACCCCCGGCCGCACTCCTTGAGGGCCAGGGCCAGTGCGCGCTTGTCTGTCTCTTTCCACGGCTCTGGTGCCAGGAGCTTATCCTTCCATGGACAAGGAGACAGACTGGAGGGGGGGAAAGTGACCTGCTCCCAGGCCGCCTGACTGCCAACCCAGGGCTCCTCCCACTGCTGGAGGAAGAGGAGACAAAACCAGAGGAGCCTTGGAGCTGAGAATCAAGAGGTCTGGGCACTTTTGCAGGGAAATCATGTCACACGTGATCCTCAGTACCCTAGATACACTGACTGCTGATTCTTAAGCGAGCTCAGAAAGGCTGAGCCTTTGGCCATCTTTGGCTAAGAAGAGTTCTGTTCAACAATTCATCTGGCACTTCGTGAGCTGAGCTGTGGCAGGAGGGATGGGGCGCTGGCACATGCCTTCCTGAGGGTCATGTGTAGTCGGGAAGCAGACTCACTCTCCCATGCAAAGTGAGGGAAAAACTACCTGGGGCCAGGCCCTGGGGATTCAGGAGACTAGGACACAGTCTGTCCTTAAGGAGTGTATGGTCTAATGGAATTTGACCCACATCACGGAAAAATACCTTTCTTAGAGTACAAAGGGCATTTGGGCTAAAACCCCAAGACACATGCTTTGGTGGAAAGACTCACGTGCATGTCTTGACTCTGTCATTTTCTAGTTGAGTTCAATACTGGCTCTGCCATTTGGCAAGTTATTTAATCTAAGCCTCAGTTAACCCTTCTGTAAAATGGAAATAACTCCTGAGTCACAAGCACTGGTGTGAGGGTGCTACAAGAGTGCATTACAGCTGTGGGAGGCTCTGGTCTGGCAACCTGCTGATGAAACAAGACCATCCAATCCTCTGTCCTTCCCTTAAACCCACCAGTCTTCCCAGAAGAGTCCTGTGAATGTGAGGACCTTGGTTTTTCAAGGGAGTGTGCTGTGAGCAGGGCGCTGTTGAAAGGGACTGGATTTTACTAATCTCTTCTATTTACATGATGCGTTTTCCTTTCAAAGCATTTCTACTTCCCTTCTTTCCTTTGAGCCTCACATTCCCTGGTGAGGCAAGTTAGAGGAGTGTTATT